GAATAATACCTGACATCTGACAATATTTCAATTGGGAAGGTTGAGAATCATGTAGTTGGAGCTCCATGTGGAGTCATGGATCAGATGACTTCTTCAAGTGGTGAGGCTAACAAACTTCTTGCCATGGTTTGCCAGGTAAACAAACCTCACACAAACTGAATTTACTTCATAAAATGCAGTGTTTTTCAATTTCTATTACTTTTTCTAATGCTCCTTAATAATTGTGCAGCCTGCTGAGGTTTTGGGTTTGGTAGACATTCCTAATTACATACGATTCTGGGGTATCGACTCAGGAATCCGGCACAGGTAGATCAGATATTGAGTGCTATTAATAGGTTCACAATTATGTTTTTAATTAAATTTTATTTTGAACATTAAGAGAAACTCATGAAAATATTTATAATGATTAATGCAGTGTTGGTGGAGCTGATTATGGGTCTGTGAGGATAGGAGCCTTCATGGGCCGGAAAATTATAAAGTCGGTTGCGTCCGAACTTTTATCGCAGTCTTGTGCAAATGGGGTAACTTCAGATGATCTCGAAGAGGATGGAATCGAACTTCTTGAGACTGAGGCCTCCTTGGACTACTTATGCAATTTGTCGCCACATAGGTCAAAATTAGGCCCTTTTTTTCCCCACCCCAAAATTTTAACTGCCTTCTGACTTCTGAAATAACTTGAATATTTTTTCTGCATTTTTCGCATAGAATTTGGTCTTTCCTGCACTTATCATCCAAGCTTTTTCCTTACTAAATGGACAAAAAGAAAAGAAAGGGGGAAAAAACTACACTTGAAAATAGCCAAATTGCAAAAAAGTCTACTTATTGGTAGATTGCAAATATATCTATTTTCTTTTTCTTTGTGCACATGCTTACCCAAAAAGTAACATCAAATATATATATGTTAGGGTGTGTGTGTGTAAATAGACAGTTTGCTCAAATTTTTTTTCCTGTAACTTCAGATATGAAGCTCTTTATGTTAAACGGCTTCCCGAGACAATGCTTGGCGAGACATTCCTGGAGAAATATTCCGACCACAGTGATCCCGTCACCATAATTGACAACAAGAGAAATTACGGTCTCAGGGCAGCCACTAGACATCCTATCTACGAAAATTTCCGGGTCAAGGT